ATTATTAATATTGCAACTGAAAATGGGGCTAGATATGTAAAGTTGCTAGTAGGTGTATATGTACTTAAGTACTTACGAACTTCTCCTCCGGACGGACGAATCATTGTTGTTCAGTTATCTGCGAAGTAAGATCTGCAGGTTGGAAGTGTGAGTACATTGAAGGATATTCTGCTAACTGTCAAATTATAGTTCCGCAATTTAATTGCAGTAAAGAGCTAGAAACTATAATGTTGGACTAAGCAGGTTTGATGGATCAATATTCTAGAGAAGATGGAGAAATGAGTTGAAATAAAATGATTTCAGGGCAGCCTTCGAAAGAATTCCTCCAGAACTAATCTCTGGTTGAGTCATATGAAGTGGTAAAACTTCGAACCTCTTTGCCTGAATTTGATTTTGATGCGACTTGGTACCTTCCTACAAAATACAGTTCATTTCATGGATATATTGGATCCGCAGTGACTGTTATGAAAAACCAAGGCGGATAAAGAATGAAAATATATTTTGAGGTTAGCTTTAATGAAAAATAAACACTTGTGTTCTGGCGCTGAGCGGAGATGTGAATTGATTTCTCAGTTGTTATACGAAGTTAAAAATATTACAGATGAGTTACCTGAGAAAAAATTGTCACCTTAAAATCTATGTGCCGCTGAAAGAAACCAAAATATTGAGCTTTGATACATACATGAGGTCCTGATTCTAATTAGGAGCGACTCGTAGATATGTACACACTGTTACTATCCCATGTATTCAAACAATAGCACCGATATCGAGCGATCAAACGATGATTTGGATAATGCTGATGTTTCTCGATTTAACAAACTGATGATAAGAATCACTGGCAGACTAAAGTCCTCCGGTTTCGAACGCGAATTCTTGTCACGCAGCACGCCGCTCGAACGAACAGATTAGTTAAACATCTACACTCTTGGACAAAGGAATACTGGTTTACTTGAAAGATTAATAGGACAGTAATGATGTTTTCGGATGTGTTTCGTTTAATGATTAAAGAATTAGTAACATAATACCTTGACTCACCCACCGGGATGGTGATATCAGTTTCTGTTGACATCAACTCAACAGCACTGAGACTGAGAGTTAAGTTCTACTGCCTTCAGAGAGCGCCACTGACGATTCCGAATGAGCGGTGAATTTGAAATGCACTTGAGATAATTAATTTTTATTACTTTTAATTCGTCAACCGACTCGATACGACCGACTCGCGACGCCATTAGCATTTCAACTGAGACTGAAAAAGTAACGGACTTTTTTAAACGCACGTGATTCGTCACTGCACCTGCCTAAACAGTTTGTGACGGTATATGGCCAGCAGTTTGGATTATAGCCGAACTAGTTCAGCTACTACCTAGAAGTGGTTTAGATACAACATAAACTTTTAGGTTTGTGATGAATCTAAAATGAGGTTTAGATAGTATATAAACTTGGTTATGCTAGGAGCTCAAAGATTTTGTTTACTACTTCAAACAGTTTGCCTATTAGCCTAATCGCCGCTGAACTGACCAGTTCGGCTAAAATCTGACCCTTTTTTTTTTCAGTGTTTTTTCCAGTGCGTTTCGCGGTAAAATTAATTGCAAATTTGAAATTTCAACGCGTGAAAAACGAGGATGAACGCGAGGCCGTTCGTGAGACGCCAACCATCCAAGCAAAAACTTCTGTAGTTGGTTTCCTCCTTTTCACAGCAGGCACCGAGCTTTACCCCCGAGGTGAAACCTTCCCAAAGGTAGCAGAACTCGGCTCGTATCGCAGGGAGTAAAAAAAACCGAGAGGAGGGGACCAGTTAAGCAGTTTTAAAACGACTCTAATGCATTTTAAAATAATCCGTGCGTCTCACAAACTGAGCACGCTAATTTCCGATCGAAGGGGTCCGCGGGGGGAGGGAAGGGAGGGGAGAGGGTCTCCGCGGGATTGTTNGGGGGGGGGGGGGGATTTCGAGTTAGGCTCGGCTGGCCAATCGCGGATCGATCCCGCCCTTCGCTAGAGCTCCGCCCAAGCTCCGCCCACGATGCTCCCCTCCGCGCTTTTGCATCCAATGGGAACCAGTTTTTCTCCGAAAAGGAACATGTCCCATTCGAGATGAGCCCTACCGTGTATAGAAACATAGGCGTTTTGTGGGTAATCTGGTAGTGGACATATTACCTTTTAGGAACAGCAGGTTCATCGATCCTNGGGGGGGGGGGGGGGGGGGGTCGCCCCGGCGGGACTGAGGTTCAGAATCTCGCTAAGTCGCCTTTCGTTGTGCTTCGCTGTTTTATCATTGTGTTTCTGCTATGTCTCCGACGGTATGAGATCACGATGGGATGGTGGCGGTAGTGATGGCAGTGAACTGAAAGTTTTAAAGACAGGACGGAGAGGTCTGGGGGAGGAAACTTGAGACTTCGAAGAGGTATCATGAAAAATTGAAGAAAAAAAATAAATAAATAAATAAACATATTTAAAAAAAGAAACTCTTATTTTGAGAGAAGGCAGTATAATACCATTGCAATTTTACAAAAACCGTACAAATTATTTTTTTACATTAATTAACTGAAAACTGATTGAGGAATTAAACGTATCGGATATATCCCTCAATCACCCTTCACCGTCGTTTCCCAGAGACCAGAAAAAGTACGAATAACTCCACTCCAAGCAAATGGCGATTATTGAAACTTGACAACACAATTTTTCTTCCATTTAAATGTATGTAAAACAGTCGATTCTTGGTAAGGCAGCTTGTCTCACAAATCGATATTTTTAATTGCTTTCAGTGGGGGAAAATCGATGTTGCCAACTTTCAAGAACCGTCACTGATTCTAGAGGTGCAAAATGAGCAGAAGCAATTCAGGATTTCCAAAAATAAAACTGCGCAATCGCTGTCCAAAACTTCTCTGATTTGAGCGTGTAGTCGAAGGAGAGAAATCCATGGAATTTTCAGCGAGAAAGTACCAATGGTTTCCTCAACAAAATGTATCTCAGAAGAGTAAATATTATAAATCGTTAAAATGTAGTTATGCGCTCTTTCGTGTAGGAAACGACGATTTTTGGTAAATAGAAAGAAGGTCTAATGAAAGATCAAAACATTGCCCATCGCATGTTTTTTCCTCCTCCTTCAATTGTTTTTCAAAATGCAGTTTATGATACGCATTGTAAACAAAGTAAACGGAGTCATCATGGCACAAGCACACTTTTTGACGGAATAATGAGACGAAAGAACCAATATATATAGGACCCGCAAAACGAAGATTTCATAAATTTACCGAATTTTCAGTATCAGGTCCTCAGGTTCCAACATTCATTGAGGGCCTAATATCCGAAAATTTAAGGGCCCCATGACACCCAAAATCCAGTCTTAGGGCCTGTCTTTAAACTGCAAGGGGCCCCTAGAGGACCTGGTTGGATTTCTAGCTGAGATGAAGAATTAAAAATAGTGATAATAAAACGAAAAATCGCCCGGGGGGGCCGGGGTGCTACAGTGCCCCAGCATTCCTGGCAATCTGGCCCTATGATCTGAACGATCAATATGTAACGTCATAATCTATAGAATATGAGGCGTTTTTCGTGGATACCTACCAAAATGCCAGCGTAACGTAGCCCGTTTTTGCCAAATTATTGTCATAGCAAGTAAAGGCAAATCGGTTTGTTTTATTGTTTCACGAAAGCTGATGTCATGATGATTCTAACGAAAATTTTACAATTTTTTTAAAAAAAAATGTGCCGCACGACTGCACGAGGTCTTTTAAATAGAACTTACCTATTTTTATTATTTTCCTCCACTCGATTAAGAAAAAAAAAAGCCTTTCTTTTTCTCTTAACAAACGAGCATGAAAAGTTGTGGTTGCTTTATTAGTTTGAGGGACCACTTTTTGGACTGAGTTAAGCAGAAAGGAACCAACCCACATTTTGGAAAAAATTGAGTTATGAATGGTTTTGAACTCAACCACTACTCTACTTTCTATCGGCAAAAATTCAAAGTTTTTGTTGGAGCAAATTTTGCAGAAATTGAACTTGAAGTTTATCTTTTACATTGAGTCTTATGCAGGAGCCAAACTTTAAACCTCTTTTTCTCGGTTCGATCCCGATGTGGCTTGGTTCCTTTCTGTTTAACTCCGTCCAATTTATTTAGGGAGACATTGAAATTTCATTCAAAGCTCTTAAAAACGGAAGGAAAATTTGAGTTTCAGAGAACACTCCTTGTTTAATTTTTCCAGGGAATCGCATACCGTGTTGAAGAAAATAATGAAAAAATGATCCCGGACGATCCTCCTTAGGAATTAAGTTTGAAATGAAAGCAGGAAATAATCCACGGAAATTCAGAACTAAGAGCCCGAATCTAGCGTGCTCAACAGCAGAACGGGGCGAACAAGAAAATTAAAGTACAGACACGCAAAGCCGGAAAGCTGCGCGCCTTTAAGCCTCCTGGTCGGATATAACTTTCACGGGTTTTAGTCGCTATTGAATTACTTAAGCCGTCGGCAACTCGGCCATAATTATGCCCATGATTATGATTATTACGATTATTATGCAAATCAAGTTTGAAACACGAAAAAGCTAAGCCGCGCAGGCATGTGTATTCAAATATTTTGAGGAGAGAAACTTGAAAAAGCAGAAAAACGGCTGAGAGGCGGAGGAGAGTGGGAAGGAGACAGACAGCGCGGCGGGGAGCGAGCGGAGCGGAGAGAGCGAGAGAGAGAGGAGAGACAACGAGGCCTATCATTATAATAAATTCATTATTTGTTTAGCGCTCCCAGATGAGAATACACATTGGTGCTCCTCTTGCGCTCTGGCAGCCAATGAGGGGCCGCGCAGCGCGCGCCGCCCGAACTCCCTCCCATAGCCTCTCCAGATCTCGCTTTCTGTGATTATTTGTTCAAATATTTTCCCTTCTCCCTCCTCTCTCCGCGGCTGCCCCCTCTCTCTCCGACGCTCGCAGCATCCGCGCTTCTCCTCTCGCTCTCGCCCCTGTTACCAAATACTTGCAGAGCACACAACGCAGTGTTTGTGTATTTATAGTGTATATATAAACTTGAAACCTATCAGGAGTGGGGATAAGAGGGCGTATATCGGGGACGGGGAGGTTGCCGCTCGACGATAAATCTTTCGCTCTGTCAAAACAGTGTCTCTCGCGCTCCATCGCTAACGTCTCCCGCTCTCCCTATCGCCCGACCAACCCTCCATCCATCCACCATACTGTGATTAACCTCTATGGATTTTTGACTGTGTCGTGTTTGTGCGTGTGAGCACTCCTCGAAATTGTGCAACTTTCTTCGGTGTTTGTGAAAATGATGGAACTACAGTGACAATGTGCACAACCCCGCCTTGCAGTAGTTCCCCGCCGGTGCCGCATTACCTGTCGCTATCCACCATGCCGACCCTCAAGAGCCCGGCCGAGCCTGGGAGTCCCCCGAATTTCCCGCCCGCCACCGCGGGAGTGTTCCCCCCGATCGACCAGTACCGACTCCAGCTTTACAACTACGCCATCCAGGCCGAGAGGTTGAGGTTCCAGAACTACGGACAGTTCCTGCCCAACGCCGGCTACCACCCTTACAACCCGCGACTGGCCCTGTCCATGCCGCTCCTCCACCACCTCGCTCTCCAGCCGGAAGAACCCAAGCCGCAGCACAGCTACATCGGTCTCATCGCCATGGCCATCCTCAGCTCCCCGGAGAACAAGCTCGTGCTCTCGGATATCTACCAGTATATCTTGGACAACTACCCCTACTTCAGGACGCGGGGCCCCGGCTGGCGGAACTCCATCCGGCACAACCTGTCGCTCAACGACTGCTTCGTCAAGGCCGGGCGGAGCGCCAACGGGAAAGGCCACTACTGGGCCATCCACCCGGCCAACATCGACGACTTCCGGAAGGGCGACTTCCGCCGGCGGAAAGCCCAGCGGAAAGTGCGGAAGCACATGGGCCTCGCCGTGGAGGACGACGGGACGGACTCGCCGAGCCCGCCGCCGCTGACGTTGACGCCCCCGCCGTCGATCTGGCCGCCGACGCCGGTCTTCCTCCAGCCGTTCCCGTCGATGGCCTCGCGGAAGCGGCAGTTCGACATGGCCTCCCTCCTGGCCCCGGACGACGGCGACAAGGAGTGCCCGCAGACGAAGAGGCCCATGCTCGAGGAGGCCTCCCAGGAGGAGGAGGACGTGGATGTGGTCAACGGCGAGTCCAACAAGGAGGATCTGAGGACGAGTGTTCCTTCCTGGTTGTCGCCTGTCTTCCCGGTCGACCCGCAGGTTTTGGCCCGCTACTACGAGACCATGGCCGCCCAGCATCATGCCAGGAGACTCCAAGCCCTCCAACAGCTGCAAGTCCGAAGACAAAACGAGGCCGAGTCACTCTCGGTCACCTCCGTAGATTAGGTTAGTTTTTTTTCTTTTTCCTAATTCACGCTAAAGACGCAAATCAATTCGGAAGGATGCCCAAATGGACTGTGTTCAGATGGATGAAACCAGGTTTAATGTTCTTGTTCTTCGTTTGGAACTGTTGGTCAGTTAGGGCCGAATCAATATTCATTCCTCAAAAACAATTCCGCTCCAATCAGAAGCTTTATATTTTTTATTTTCTTATTCGCATTTTCTCCAATAATATCGCAACTTGTATCTATATCTACATGAACTACTCAAACGTTTTAAGAAACAATGGTATTGGATACTACGGATAATCCGAAAGACCAGGCATTTTTGAATCCTCTGTTTTTTGTTTTAAAAAAGGGCCTCATATATGAACGTATCGGGGCCAAGGGAGGTTTAAAAATGTTCTTAGAATATCAGCTAGAAGATAAACATTTCAACAAATCTCCAGTAAAATTCAACAGCATAATTTTAGATATGGATCGCAAGGAATTACCTACAATGATGATGACCACGACCAAAAATTAAAAATATAAATACACACTGAGAAAAAACTATGGTTATAATTAACATATTACTGGCTTACTGGTGTTCAATATGCACTCTTAATTAGTAGTAGCCATAACCAATAATGGTGATATTTTTACAGAGCAATCGTACTTTTAAAAGTATGCGGTAGCAAAATTAACATTTAATGGTGAAAATATCTCTATTATTGGTTATGGCAACTACTAATTAAGAGTTCACATTGAACACCACTATTATGGTAATTAAAACCATAATTTTTTCTCAGTGCAGTTTTGCAGGCCTTGACGATTTTGAGGTCGGTTCATATTTACCTCATAAGTGATCAAATATAACTGTTTCTACCATATTTTATTTTTGAAAAATTATTTTTTTTCCTCGCAATGATCTATTTCCGAAATTATTCCATTGGATTTTACTAAATTTGCGTAAAAATTGTCCTTTTTATGATGAATTCCTTCTACCTCCTTTCATCACGATCGGAACCATATGGAGCCTCCTGAGGAGCTATTTCATGGATGATCATGAATACAGCCTTTAACTTGTATAGAAAATTCTGTTAGATTCAAATTCAGTCAAGTTGCACCATCTCTTGATTAAAATTACTCTTGAGAATTTTCAAAAAGAACACCCTTTGTTATCTCTTGCAAGAAAAGGGGCCGCAGTCCACAGATGTAAACTTCTCCAGAGAGCAATTTGTGTGAAATTGCGCGGGTCAAAAAAGTGGTTTTGGAAGTTTTGATGTAAAGCGCTGTATAAACTTCCCGGCTCGAATTAAAATTTTAAGAGGTTCTCTCTCCAAACCACATTTTTGACCGCAAAATTTCTAACCGTCACGGCTCCAGCTCACTTTCAAATTTTAGGGATTTTTGTTCTAAAATGCTCATAGAATATCCGTCATTGTTTGATTTTAATAACTCAGCTTTGAAATTCTGTGGAATGAAGTAAATCTTCCTGTCAACGGTCATATATGCTGACTTAATAGCTTTTAACTTTTTAATGTGCCCTCATTTTGCCGCGTAAGAAGAAATGAGAGAAGTTCCGAATGAGCTTATTTTATGTATTCATTTCAAATCTCAGAGATAAGCTGGCAATCATTCCATAGTGCGTGAAAATTAAAATGTTAGGAAAATCTTCACTTTAAAAAATACTTTGAAATTGAAATTAAAGTGCAGTTTTGAGAAATGGTTCATCTCTCTTGATGCTGTTTATGTGATTTACACTTAAAAGTTGATGCATTAATTGTCAATGGGAAGAATGACGTTGACATAAGAATTACTTCCATTAATGTTGTTCCCCTCAAGTAAAGACAGGTTTTTTTTTTTGTCTCATAACATTTGCTCTAAATTCTAGAAAACAAATTATTAATCTCAAAAACACATACGTTTTTCCGGTACCTTTCAAAAATGAGGTACAATTTTACAAAAAAGTATAAGATTTTGGGCAGAAACTTTGATTAACTTTTTTAATATAGTTAATACTTAAATAAATTGTCGATCCTAAATCCGCATGGTGAATATTTGAGATAATTTAATTATCTTTGATTATTCTCTGAATATTTTTATAAATTTGCTACTTCTGGTAGAATGTGATCTGAACTTTAGATAAAAGGACAGAAGTCCTAATCCAAAACTTATATAAATGTTGTGAGAGATGAATTCCACATTACGGTAACACAGAAAATTGTAAAGGCAGCAGTCTTAGCGTTTCATAAATTGGACACCGCGAACTTTTTCCAACTTCCATAATTTATCAACTTTCATGAATCTGTTCCTCTTCCATCGATAGAATGAGAAGTATTAAAAAAATGAACCTATAGATATCTCACATTTTTAAGTTGAGAAATGTATGATTTAATTTGTTTTTAGCGTGAGGTAATAGCTCAGACAAGCTGATAATATAAATTTAAAGAATAAACTCAAACATTAGTTCTTAACTGCAGCTTAAATCATTTTTTTCAATCGGATAAATTAATTACCCTGTATTTCAATGTAATTTCTCATTAGCTGCTTACGAACTCATTACTTTTCAGTTTGTACTACACAGATTTTAGATTCTTGTGTTACTCGTTTATTTATTTCATTTAATGGTTCACCAAGTAGGGTCTAAACTGGACCGATCTTTGTATGTGAAACACAAAAATATCGCAAAGAAAACGAATCGCACAAATAAATATGTTAATTTGACTAACAAATTGAATAGTGCATGTGTCTGGCTGCCATATACAAAATTTAATCAAAATTCATCCTTAATCTAAGATTTTTATCAATGCAAAATTATGCATTGAAAATAATATCAAATTTTCCGCGGGGTGACCGTAAGTTTCGTTATGATTCACTGAGAAACGATTACTGCTATCTTCAAAAATTGTTTTTAAATTTTATTTTTAAAATGCAGATTCATTATACCCCTCTTCTCCCTAACATGTACCTGAACACACTTTTTGGCCTCTTCGGACGTTTTAAATGTGTTTTCAAAACTCTTCGTAAGAGAATTAAATTGAAATATTTTAAGATTGTTTTGCAATCTTTTTCTGGTTTTCTCTCTTGTTATTTTTCCTCTTCAAAATGTGTTTGTCAACTTGTGGGGTTTGGTGTTAAAATATTCATGAGAACAGCTTCCAAAATATTGTGATTTTTGTTTTCTACGATGGGACCAAAATTTGTTTTCTGCCTTTTTTTTCATGAGAGGAACATGTGAGATAATCGAAACAATCTACATCGATTTGATACTTCTTTTTTGAAGAAATGTAATTTTTATTGACATCACTTTGAAATAAAATTTTAGTTGGCAATATTTTTTTTGGAGAACGTGAATGTAAGAAACTCGATACAACAATTTTCTAAATTAAGAATACCTGGTCAATTGAAGCACACAGCCAAAACTTATTTCCACCTTTCTCGTAACGATGAATATGAATATTCTCAAAGTATTACAATCCTGCCGAAATTTTAAAAAAATGTCTTTTGCGTGAATGTTATTTTATATGCTAGTCTTTTGCAAATAAAATGTTATTATGTATATAACAAACTAATGAAGAAATTGTGTGTAAATTTGTACCAAAAAAATATTTGTAGATACGACTTAATCGACTTATTATAGAAAAATGAATTACTGAAGAGGACATTATGTTGGGGCAACGGGAATTAAGTGAAAACTATACACCGGAAAAATACTTGTTCCCAAAACAAGAATCCTTTTCATATTTGATTCACAAGGACCCTTGTTTCCTTGTTATTCACATTAGACTGCACTGTCAAGAGAATCAGAGTCTTGCTATTACGAGGAACCTTCTCACTGAAACATGACCCTCATTTCCATGACAAGATAGCTCAAAGTAGTGGTGGTAACAGTGAAGTTTTTTTAATGTAAGTAGAAAAATAGACTCAATGATTGTTATGCATGATGGATGGTCCTTTCGGGAAGCTAAATATTTTAATTTGTTTTCTTTATCTCATTGTAAAGATTGTTTCTACAGTACTTTCCTTATGAAATGTATATAGTCGTTTTTAGAGAATCGTACAGAGATTTATTTCATGTTGTTTTTATTTGTTCAAATATTCGTTACGCAGATTACATATTATAAAATTAAAAATTATTGTAAATAAAGTGTCATATGTAAAAGAAAATATTTCAGAATACATTTGTGAAACTTGCAGATCGACTAAGAGTTGTTATTTCACTGTTACCTTCATTTTTTATTTAAACCATTTACAAGACTTGAAGTTAGACAAATGATCGAATATATTTTTATTTTATGCATAAAAATTGACTTAATTCGATCTACGAAAAAAGAGCAAAAAACAGGGCAAAGCAAAAAGAATTACTTGATTACACAGTTGAAATAGGCAAAAGTTTACTGTTGATGCTAATGTTTGGTCAATTGTTCCGTCAATATTATGATAAGAACTTTTTTACTGAGTGATAATGAAAATTCGTCCAAAGAATATTTATGAGACAACTTTGTCACACAAATAGTTTTTTATGTGTAGTGAACATTATTTTTGCAAATAACCTAAACCATCAATTAATTTCAAGTGCCCAAGGTAAAAATGACTTTCTAGTTGAACCAATAAATGACATCAGATTTAAAGAAAACCAGAGTTTATGACTGGACCAATTTAAGTTCTAAATTATTTACACACAAAAAAATTATTCCATGTATAATGGAGGTCTATGCTAGCATAGACAAAATATCACATAATCTAACATTCTGAGGCTCTTTTGTACTCATTTTCTTGGAATCTTGACAATGGTTTTCTTTGAATCATCAGCAATTTTTTGCAACTTATTCTGGTAAATGGAAAAACTCTAAGGAAAAATATTGATTTTTAACCGTGTACGGCACAAAAAATTTTAGTTTTCAAAAATATATAGAATCGATTCTCTGATGTGGAATCATTAAAATATTTGGTCAAAAACGCCCATAAATGTATAATGAAAGTGAATCTACGGAGATTTGAAGATTGCAATTTTAAAAACGAAGTTAGCAAACAAAATATTCGAATGTCTAATTTATAATGCTTAGGGCACAGGGATTGCCGGATTACAGTACGTTTTCACGCCCTATATTGCGTTAAATTAATCAAACCATTCGCCACTTATTCTTCAGCAAAGAAAAATCGTGTGAACACCCAGCACCAATATTTTATCATCTTGTCACTTATTCTTTAGCGTACTAGAACTTTTTATTAAAATATAAAAATCCGATTTTCCGCTCCAACTCGACAAAAATATTGCAGCGCGTTTTTTGAACTGTGAACATAAAACCTTCGTAAATCTGCCTTGTGTTTAAATTTCTGAGCGTTTTTGACCCGAAACAATCCTTTATTATTTGGCGTCATTTTGAACTTTTGGGCTTAGGTCATTTTCTGCATGGACGGCCACATATCATTGTTTCCCAGACGAGGGAGTGTTGCCGCATTTCATCGTTGCAAAACTTCCTCTCAGAAATTGTATTTTTACCAAGATATCGTTGATTGTTTCTAACTAAAAATTTTACCAATTTTTCATCTGATTACACTACAAAGTCGTGAAAATCGTTTACAAGTATGGCACAATCGTATGCTTAGAGACATCGAATTATTTGAGTCAATTTTGCAACTTTGGAATGGAGTTACACTTCTCACTCCAGAAAATGCGGATATCCTTTCTTTAAAATGAATACTTTATGTACAGGACCTACTGTAATACATACGACAGTACATAAAAAGGTGGAGAAATGGTGCTGGGTACACACTATTTCGCAGGGAAAGCAAAGGCAAGAAGTTATCTAAAAATTATAATTAAATAAAAATAAATTTTTTAACACTAATGAGTACCAATACAAAACTTTGGTATGTACCTCACCGGGTGCAGTTTGGCAAAATTGAAATCGATGGCCTAAGTTCAAAACCACGTATCTCTGTTTGCGACGCTGCAAACTTCCTGTCTTGCTTCAGTTCTCCTTTGGAAAACTAATCAACGTAATTTCTTGAAAACCTCCTTAATTTTTCTTCTCTGTTAGAGAAATATTCTTTGTAAATTTCAAGCCTTTAAGTTGGCTTGTCCCTATTCGAATGAATAAAATTAGAGAGGAAATTTTGAAACAGTGCAATAGAGATACGTGGTTTCACATACCTCGAGCATCAAAATTCTGATGCGGCATTCTTGCACACAGTGCGGTTAAGCGCACTACCGCCCTGCTCGAGCGATGGCCGCTCAATTCGTCGCTAGGTAAACAAAAGGACGTAACTGCAATTTAGGATGAGCCCGAGGAAGCATTGAGTTATATGGACTACAGGGCTCATCGCGAGGTGTGCTTACGCCCTTATGTCAGGAGGGCGACGAATTCTAGGCCCGCGACCCGGAAAGACGAAGAATGAATGAAAAAAGAAGTCCGGAAGTGGATTTGGGGGCTGACGACTTCATCGAGAGTGACGGATTTGCGCGACGCTAGATAGGACGAGATAACAACACGTCGGGGCAGGAGGTGAGAGAGATTTAATAGGAAAGGTAAGTTTCTCTGAATCGGGATCCGTTTAAGCGCTTGTAATGCGGCCGATAATCTCAAGTGCGGGCCGAGAAACACGGAGTGTTTGCCCGGACCATAAAATAAACCACGGGTCGTTTTTTAAAAGGTCATATGTCTGATCCCGGGTGAGCCCCGAAACAGCAGGTTTTAAGAGCATCTCAGGGCTCATCCGAGAAAGGCCGTCTGCCTTTCGAGAGGGAGGACGAAGGGCGGACACGAGGTCTGAGGTGAGGAATATTCGCGACCGGATTAGTGGTAGAGAAAAACACGCTAACAATGATTTGCAGGCCAAACTCGGCGTGCAAATTGACAGATGGTGAATGGAGAGTCAACACCAGAAAACAACCTTCTCCGGCAACTCGTGCAGAGCAGCGCTGCGATGCGATGGTCCCTGAACCTGGGTCTATCCCTGGAGAAATTCGACCCGGCGAGAGAAGTGTGTTCGAATTAAATGATCTCAAATTTTAATCGTCTGGGGAAGTGGCGATTTTCATCGAGTTGGGTCTGTGAATCGGATTTTGAGACTTCGATGGCAAAGTCTCTTAAGTGCGCCCTAAAAAATCACGTAAGGGATTATAAATTTTACCGATTCCATGACTGATATTGGCGCCAGCCAAGAAAATGGTAGAATCAACCTTACTGCCACTAACATCTGCCAATTTTTTAAATTATATGCATTAGAAATATGACAAATTCAACTGAATTCCTGGATTGGCGCCGAAATCAGCTGAGAATATTATATTTTTTCTACCATACCTATTTTCCTTTATAAGGTATGAGTTTTATTTATTTTTGTGAATCTGCATTATTAAACAGCATGCCATGTGGCTTGAACATGCATGATTTGCCCAAAACCACATTTCTAGAGATGCATAAATCTCAAAACGCCATGATTTCGATTGGTTCGACCTGTTTGGATGTTGACTGTCTCGAAATTTTCCTGGGAAAGTCCCTTGCGCTTTTGCATCAATCTGCAATAGCAATTGTGAGTTATCATGCAGAGAAATTGTAAGATTCCATTTCTTGCCATAGACTGCCAAAATGTAGTTTGTCTAATCACTGGACGGATACACTTTCATTTTTGAAACTTCACTCTCAAAACTATAGTCACCAACAAAAAAAAGAGGTAAATTTTATGGTAAACCAAAAGAAATTTGAAGTCTCGAAATCAATGACATTGAGTTTTATGGGCCATCAACCGTTTTAATTGTAGGCAGCCTCTCGTGTGTTGCATTCGATGTATCACTATCAAATATATTCTCACACATAAAGCCTCTCCTGAGCAAATTGATAATTTGTGGACGATCCAGCCTCTGATCTATGATACTTTATGAAACTATACTGCTGTGCTAAGGAAGAACACCATATGAGCCTTCAGGCGTTGCTAAATTTCCTCCCGGAAAATATCTATTTTTGAAAAAAATTTGTGAATATTTCTCCTTAAAATTTTCACAAATTGTAGGTAAAATTATGGACAAAACTCTCTGAAAAATCGGAATAAAAATATTCACAAATTTGTCCGAAAATTCGTAGATTCATTGTCAAAGGACTTTTGGCAACGTCTAAAGGCTCATACGGCGTTCTTCCTCAGCACGGCAGTATATATCGACGGTGAAACTACCAGACCACGTATCTCGTTTGCGGTGTTTGAAAATCTCCACTCACATTTTATTTTTTTGAGGGAGATCAAATCAATATCATTCCTTACAATTTTCACAGATTTTTCTCCGCACAAAGAGGAAAAATCACGGAAGTTTTCACGAATTGACGTTGAGTAATTTTCTATTTAAAAAATAAAGTGTGGCAGGAAGTCTACGACGTCGCAAACCGAGATACGTGGTTTGGTAGTTTCACCGTCGATATACCACGTTTCTCAATGGGTTGAATGAACACAGAGAAAGCAGATTGATCGAGAGAGCGGACTATAGATTCGGCATAAGTTGGCTACGCGTGACAGAGGTTGTGACGCTGTCAAACTCTAAGTAACCGATCGCGCCTGGAGTGCGGAGCACCGAAAGAGCGATCACCTACGATGATTCGATGCCTTCATTGTTTATCGATCTTGCTATTGTGTTCATTCCCACCCGAGATCGCCACTTATTTACTTATTTCTTCACCAGCGATGAATAATGGACAGAGAAGTGCGCTACGGCCTGCCCACAGCGAGAAGTGTCGGAGTCTTATTCAAACTTAGTTTCACAAAGCTTCGACGATAGCGAGTCGGCGAGGAGACCCAGAAACAAAAGAATATATTCATGACGGGCTCATTACTTAGAATACCTAGTATGGAGACGCTGGAAAAAATCAAAAGGTAATGAATGTGGAGGACTCGTCATAAGAAGTCCATAAAAATATGAAAGCTATAAAAGTAGCAAGATAGATTTTGTGGAGGGGGCCAGGGGGGGTCTTGGCCTTTCCCAAGACGCAGTGTCCATCATGAAAGCAAATTTATAAGCAGAATCGATTGAATGCCAGTTTTCAAAAAATTACGTTGAATTGTTTCTAAAGAAAAAAATAAAATATGACAGGAAGTCTGCAACGTCGCAAACGGTGATACGTGGTTTCGCTTTTTAGTTATGACTCACAAGTGAAGGAATATTGGAATGTATATGAAAAAACGTGTAATATTAGACGACATCATTCCG